AATACATATGATGGTTGCGTTGTCCCGGGGCTGAACATTTTACATCTGCCGCTCGTAATGCGCTGTTGGGGTCTGGGTTTTAGTCAGTACCGCCGTCGTATCTTGTCGGGTCTTGCTAAGTCGCTTGTTGGTAGTCGTCAAAAGTTTATTGTGGAAGAGTCCCATTAGTTGGCAGTTGTTGAAAAAGATAAATGACCTATTATTTTAGCTTGAAAGTCGTTGTAAAGTAAAAAAATTGGTTGATAACTTCAGCGAAAGTCGTTGAAATTCCAATGACTATTGCCACTGTATGAGACCTGGAGCAGTAGCATTGGGCGCGCCATACGTATGCACATTGTGATCAGGTGACAGATACAAGCAATCAAACAAGCTGAAGATGGGCGCGGTGACAGCGGGGCTGATCGAGCAATGATCAGCAATCTATAGTTTATGATCGGTCATGGCTGCCTGAGCCATAGTTTATGATTGGCCATGGACGCCGATTAAAGGTCAATGTGGCTGATGGAGAGCTTGAAAAGACGCCGATATCTTGAGCTAAAAGGCCCTACTCTACAGCCTGGCCAGTCTAGTCTGGAAAAGTCTTATTTTTGTCTGAAATATCGCGGCTCTAATATCATATAATTTCAGTAGGTATGAATTTATGAAATCTCGCGGCTCGAATGTCATAAATTTTTGTTCGATTAAAAAATTGCGGTTTGCACTTCGCAAACATGTCATTTCATAAAATTTTCAACTTCCGCAATCCGCATTGCTTTACCGTTTCCGCCAAAAATATCTTGCAGAAAAAACATAAACATCGTAATGTAAACAAATAAACAAAACGTTTGTTGATTTTTTTAGAATCAGTTCATTTTTAATTTCCTCATTTACACAAGATTTCATCCAATTTCTTAAGTATGATAATGCTGGTATCCAGGATACTTTACTGGTCTACTTATAGGACTCAAAAATGAACTTGAGGGAGAGTCTAAAAAACTCTCTGCTTTGCCACTATGCATGATACTTTACTGGTCTACTTATAGGACTCAAAAATGAACTTGAGGGAGAGTCTAAAAAACTCTCTGCTTTGCCACTATGAGTGGCCAGTTAATATATTACCCCTCTGGATTTCCACACTGACTGTCTGCAACAATGTGATCTTCAAGGAAATGTTTTGGGTTGACTACCTAGTTGGTATTTCATTATGCAGGATATTTTGGCAGGAGCATTAAAGAACTGCGGATTGTGGAAGTTGAAAATTTTATGAAATGATATGTTTGCAAAGTGTAAACTGCATCTTTTCAATCAACCAAAAATACATGATATTAGAGCCGCAATATTCCAGAAAAATTAAAACTTTCCCAGCCCGGTAAATCTCCATCAGAAACTTAGACCAAACCTACCATAATGAATCTTGCTTGGTTTCATTTTTAGCTTGAAAGAAGAACTATACAACAGAACACAAAAACGCTTCAACATATTTTAGCATTAGCAACATAGATTGTTTGAATCCAAACCCAGGCCAAGAGCCAATTCAGTCAAGCCCAGCGGCCCAGCTTGCAGACTGTAGGCGGCTAGGCGCAAGCAGCAAAGCCGAATTTTCTTCTCAAATTCAGTTAGGCTATACAAACATAGTGACAAACCACAGATTTTTATGAACCAGTTTATTTTTAATTTCCTCATTTACTCAAGATTTAAACCAATTTCTTAAGAATGATAATGCTGGTATCCATGTCTGACATAGTGACAAACCAGAGATTTTTTAGAATCAGTTTATTTTTAATTTCCTCATTTACTCAAGGTTTAAACCAATTTCTTAAGTATAACAATGCTGGTATCCAGGATACTTTACTGGTCTACTTATAGAACTCAAAAATGAACTTGAGAGAGAGTCTAAAAAACTCTCTGCTTTGCCGCTAATAAAATGTAGAAACAGTAAAATTGCGTTTACTTCTTACCCTGATCTTTTTTTAAGCCTAATCAGCTGTAAAATTAGAGTATTGGTCCGTTAGCCCTATTCACGACGATGTGTCGACATCGTAAAGACCGTTGACTGTGAATTAGACAGATCTATTGTGAGTTTCCGGCTCCATAATTCGTGGTTGAAATAAATTGAATATGTTTCGAATGAAATATTACCAGTAACCATTACGGCTGTACTAATATTATTACTCAAATGATGAAAAGGAAGAAATATCCACCACTTCACTTGCCCTGTTCAAATTTGAAAACTTTTTACCTGCTGGTCCCTACGACTTGTATTCGAAAATACAACTCGTGTCAATTTCATTCCCACAAGCTGAGCATCTACAACGAAAATCCGCTAGCGAATGTGACTAATTTCTTACTGGATTTTTAATTTTTATTTAACCAAGTTCATAAAGTTTAAATCGCTGCCGTGTGTCCGAACCTAGAGTTTGGAAATGCCGTGTGGTCACCAAAACTATTAAAGGACAAAAATTTAGTCGAGAATGTTCAAAGGGTTTCAACAAGGATACTTTCAGGATTAAAAGGCAAGCCTTACAAAGAAAGATTTTGATGCTTCCAAGCCTCTGTTATCGACCTCTGCGCGGTGACCGAATTGAAGTAATGTATACATGTATATCCTCGGTTTATACAAGGTCTCAGAAGGATTACTAGAATTTGAATCAAGAACCAACACCAGGGACCATGGCTATAAGCTAAAAAAAACTGCGTTGTAACACATCCGAACGTCAATATTTCTTCTCGCTTCGAGTCACCGACATGTGGAACATCCTACCTGACAGCATCGTTGACGCTCCGTGTATGAACGCTTTCGAGAACAGACTAGACGAAGCTATGCAGGAGCATATGTTCAGTCATGAAATGCCTACCGGTAGCACCTTACGGACCAGGCAATAAGTCCAGCAGCTATCTCAAACAATCAGCAGTTATGGAAATATTGGGTTCAGAAGGCCGGATCCCTTGCGAATCAAGTCACGAAAAGTACAAGGATCTGCAACAGGCCATGGGCCTATTTCTTCAGTGCCGACAATTCTATTTTACTCTATATCAGGGCGTAACAATCCTCTTGCAATAAAAAATGGGCATTTTGAATTTAACCTCCCCCCACCTGAACAGCACAGGCTAATCAGTAATCAGTTAGTTTAATATAACATAGTGATCTCGGCGCTGAAGTGTAGGCTTGATGTGTCCTGTCACCGATTCTTTTCCTTTTCGTGCCTTGTTCAGCGAATATCTAAAATCGTGTCATTTGACCGGATCTTTTCATGACTGACGATAGTTTGAAATAGCTACTCGTCTTACACCGAGTTCGATATGGTGCTAGGCATTTTAAATCGGAACATATATTTTTCCATAGCTTTATCTAGTCTGTTCTTGAACGCGTTCATCCTTGGAGCGCTAACTATGTCATCGGGGAGGCTGTCCCACACATGGTTGAATTAACACTGTATTAATTCAACCATGGTCCCACATGTCGGTGATTCGAAGCTAGAAGAAATGTTGGCGCGTGGAGACGTTGCAGCGCAGTTTTTTTAGTATCATTTTGAAGCGCAAATTTCCCAAATCTATCCATTTATTAATAAAAGCTATCCATGCCAATCCACCAGATAGAGAAAAATACAGATGTATTTGTGACCTTACTGGTGGACAAATAATGATTGGCTCCTGTAGTACTTAGTACGATTTGCATCTCGCATATTCGTAGGCATTTTGTTTCTTTCCCGAAACTTAGGTAAAGACACTCGTCTATACCCCTCAGGGGGGACTTCTAACGTGTGTCTGTGCTCGTCAGAAGTCCTATGGGATTTCACGTTACCAAGGGGATTGTTCCTGAGCGTCCCACCGCTGAGCTCGCGGTGTCTGACTGCGTGTCTCAGTTGTGGGGTTAAGTTATTATGTAGGTGGGATTCCTTACACTTCCCTTCTTGTCTCTCTGTCTCCAAATGCTGTCGGCCTGCCTGAGGTTGGAGCGCAACCCGGACATGGGTCCAAATCGACAGCCAACTTATCTCCGTCCTCCGAAAGGGGGACCCGAAGCCCACGTTTTTTTAAGTGGGTCTAGGCCCCGCCTCGCGCTGTGAAGCGAGGCGGGGAAGGTCAATAACAACAACACTCATCTATATAAAATTTTCACTTCTATTTTCAGAATTTCATTACTTTATTCAGTTTTGGTGATTGGTATTGCAGCATTGGGCATGTTGCGAACCTTCTTAGATTGGAAGAAGATCGCTACGCAGGAGATACCAGAGCGGCCAAGAGTGACCATTGTATGTGTTTAACATTAGGTTATTTGTGTTGCTTGGCTTGTGGATGTACTGGTAGTGAGATTGCTTTTTTTGTGAGTGGGCCATCTAATGGACTTAGTTTTAGCTTCGCAATAAAATCTTGCAAGTCTCAACTCTGATCGTATCAGGTTTTAATTCATTTTCACTATCGCGAACATAATGGAGCGGTAGCCTAAATATGTTGGAAGCTCTCCCACAACAACAACAACAACACTCATCTATATAAAATTTTCACTTATATTTTCAGAATGTCATCACTTTATTCAGTTTTGGTGATTGGTATTGCAGCATTAGCATTACGGCAAACTTCAATGTTCACTCAGGTCTGGCCGACAATGCAAGTGAAAACGGTTGACCTCATTTCCCGCCAACCCTGGCTACGCATTGTTCGCAAATCGGAAGGCATTGTGCATTTGTTTTGGTTTGTACGGGTTTGGACTATACCACAATGTTAGCTCGAGAGTAATGCACTCTCACACGTCATGAGGGATAAACATCTTCTGTACAAAAACGAAACCTCGCTCTATCTGGTTCCTTGGCAAATAAGGGTAAGCAACTGGGATTTTTAGCTTCTACATCCGTTTTAGAATGCTTCACTATAATGTCATGAATAATAGTTAGAACTCTTCGTGAATCCAAACGGCTGAATTCTAACCTCCAAGTATTCACGCTTCATTTCCGCTTGAGTTTGAAACACCGAAATCTTGCATACGTTCATATACAAGAATAAAAGGAATGAAAAATTGCGAATAATAATACGATAATGTGTATTCATTTTTCAGATAGCCGATATGCGAGTCTTAAAAACGATTTGAGAAAGTCATATAAATAACAATTACCCTATTTTACTCATGACTCATTACGATCGACACCAGACACATTGAATAAAACTCAGACAAGTACAAAATCTTTGCTAAAGAAGCTCAAGGTGCGAACTCATCTCGAGCAATTATGCAGAAAATTTACATCCGAATTTTTCTACATCTCTGGATACACATGCATATTATACTGGCCGTTGCCAGTGGCCAAATTGACAGGCCGTGACGCGGGATATACGCGACTTTCATGTAACTGGCAGGCTGGAGAACTGGAGTGCCAAGGTTTCAAGTCTTAGAAGTGATATCGCACACTAATTGCAAAATGTCCATCGTTATAGCTCTTGCCTATGTATAATAAAAAGAATGAAGCGTACCAGAAAATAGTGTTCTGAAATAATTAAAATTTATATGCCAGAGCACGAACGATCAACTCGTATGAGGAGAGGGTACACAGGACAACTCATTTTTAACATAAATTGACAATATATAACAACTGATCCATAAGATTGAGCTAAGCATAATATCAGATTGAACTTTGTAATTTGTTGGAAGCTCTAGTGTGTTGGCGGTATACATGAACGCGGCACTTTCATTCACTCCATTGTGATCAAATATAACGAGCATATTCCTTTTAAACGTGCAGCACTCAATGAAACACACACGCACACCTGTCTGAAGATCAATAATTATTCTAATTTTACAATAAATTATCAGGTCATCTTTGCAGTTATTTCTGTATATACAAGAGTATCCTTAGAAAATAAACGTGCAAAACCAGGCTTAACCTACTAATGTAGACATCAGTTTACCATATTGCCATTTTAAGCGCCCACATTGCAATAAGTTTCTGCTTCTGATCAGATATAATTCCCAATATGTTCACTAAGAAATATAAGAAAGCTTGTAGCTAAAATGGCAAACGGTACAAATTTTTTGGAATATATCAGAAAAATTTGAGTGAAATTATCGAGTGAAAATTTGATCAAACGCTTACGTCAGAAGTAACAGATCTGAGGGTATTTTCGACACCACTACACGTGAATAAATAGTTTGGGTAAATCTTAATGCCTTATATGATTATGACCTCAATAAATGTGAGCAACGAGAAAATTATCACATTGAGGCATTCACATTTGTGAAAAATAGTTAACTAACAATTTCGCCGGCAACTGATAGCGATGTTCAGGATATGATACCTTCAATAGTGAAGGTAGTTATGAATACTAGAATATAACAATGTACCTATGCAACCTAGCAACTACTTGGGACACATGGTACCTGTAAAAGATACTATTAAGATGTCAATGAATAGTTTAAAGACACTCGCCGATTTCCGCTACAAAGAACGTTCCGGGCGCGCAATCTGTGTGGTCTTTTGAGTCCTTGAATGATTGAATTTCGAGGAATTCAGGCTCCTTGACGAGGCTTGAGGATTGAAGCGGTCCTTGATTCTTGCTGGGAGGGTTAGCAGGGAGGCAGATGCCCAGTTCGGATACTAAGATCTGACCGGGAGGACACTTGATGGGCTCTGAGGCAACGGGCACCGGAACATCCTTGTCCTTCACTAAGCTATCCGAGATGATGGGAGTTGGAGGACGCACCTTAGGAGGAGTCACGGACATGCAGATACCAATTTCTGGCACGAAGATCTCCCCGGGTTCACAGTCCGAAGTATCGTCGTTATCAATGAACTTTGCCGCCGGCTGAGTCTCTTTGATGAGATTGGCTGACTGTAACGGCCGTGCTTCACTCGGGGATTTTTGCAGCCGTCGAGAAGAGGAAGAAGAGACGGGGACACACACCCCGATCTCTGGAACAAACATTTCGCCCTCCCTGCATTCGCTCGCGGCTTGGCCCGAGGAGAAGGCCTGAATTTCAAGAGGCCTGTGAACAGCACTGGACTCCTCCCGCACGAGGCTCGCCGAAGACAGCGGAGGAACAGGACCACCGGATGCGATATCCAAGCATATGCCAAGTTCGGTATTGAAGATCTGATTTTTGGTACAATCGCTGCGAGTCTGAAGATTGGAAGTAAATACTGTCGCGATGGGCTTATCAACATGGAGGCTGTCAGACTCTAATGGTGAGGATCTCAGAGGCTTGTGGGCCTGCATGCAAATGCCAATTTCAGGAACGAAGATAGTTCCTGGCGCGCAGTTCTCAGGGTCTTCACGGGTTAGGCTTCCCGATTCCAAATCCGAAGGGAATGCAGACCGGCCATCACTAGGGTTCGAGAACAGAAGTGCATTGTCATCTCTTTGAGAATCCTTCGGATAAACGCACCTGGAAAGGGACGATAAACTGTTAAAATATTTGCAGATTGAGGCAGTTTGGAGAAGCTTTCCTAGCGTCAATTGGTTTCAAAAACGTTCATTTCTGATTATGCAATCATAAATGGTTGATAAAGTGAAGTTATCTTAAACTTATACGCTCAGGCAAAATTATCAGTCTTGTAGTCATGCTTGAATGAAATTTAGATAGGAATTTCAAGTTCTTTGCGTGACACTAAAATTTCAATGTTTGACAATATTTCTGACGCCAAGGTAAACACACCACAGTTTCGTACGGAATAACCAGAGGATGTTCAGTCTAATATTATGAATTATTTTAGTATACAATGCTAAAATTGTTATCGTCTGCAATTTGACAGTAAGCATGCTACTGCCTGTACGGTGACTAGAAAGCAACTATTGAACCTATTGAATTAAGTCACTATAGCAAGCAACCAGTGAACTCATTAAAGTCACAAACAAGCAGCCAGTGAACCCATTGAGATCACTAACAAGCAACTGGAGGAACCTATAGAGGTCACTAACACGCAACTATTCAATCCATTGAGGTCTCTAGCAGCAACCAGTGAACCAGTAGTGACCATTGAGGTCACTAGGAAGCCACTAGGATACTAATACTATCTAGACCTACTCCCCAAAGGTTTAGACTTTTACCTGAAGTTCGCATGCATCTGCGAAACGAAGTTGACAGCGGCGGCGTTGGTGCAGTCGACGGTCACCACGGACTCGAAGTCGCTGGGTCGTCGCTGGGCTGCGGGATTATAACTACTTTAGTCACCCCTGAACGCTGGCACTATAAGGTGTCAACGAGAACAACAACTTAAGTCACTCGTGAACGCTGGCGAATAACATGTCAACGAGAGCGAGACCTTCAGGATTGAGACACATCACAACGAGAGAAGGGGGAGACTGTGCAAGGTCCCCCCACTACGTAACAGATCTCCAGTCAGATTTCAATCTCTTCGGGAAGGATCACTTTCCGTGGAAGGGCCGAGGCTGTTTAACATCCTACCAGAGGATCTAAGAGAGGGGGAGTTCACCCTGGAGACCTTCAAGAGACGACTGGGCACAATCCCTGGGCACAATCCCAAGAGACCTGGGCACAATCCCAGATCGACCTCCCCTGCAACACTACCAGCGGCGAGAAGCAAGCAACAACATCGTGCACCAGCTGGCCCAAATGAGGGCGGATGAGCGATAATCAGAGGCGGCGATCCATCGTGGCCTGGGACTGCTACGTCCCAAACAAATACTAGGGAAACTAAGTACACCTCCTTTAGTCACCCCTGAACGCTGGCGCAATAACATTTCAACTAGAACGTACCAAGGATGGCAGAGATGCATCAAAGAGTACAAGTTTGAGGGCAATTTGCAGCATGACGTCATAGGAGGCTACGCATTGAATACGATAATTGCCGTATCCCAGATACGCGCAATACGCCCTTCCTATCCTGCCGCGAGGTGAGCAAGTATGATGCTATCGAGTTGATCTTGGACTTGTGTGTTGTTGAAGAAGATCGATGCGTGAAAAAATGTAAAACCACGAGATTGGTGAATTGTTGGAGGTGAATTTTGGATATCTATTGGTGAATTGTTGGAGATAAGAGCTTCTTGAAAGAAATTTACCGGATTTGCCTACATTCAACAGCAAGATAATTTGTATTCAAAGGAAAACTAAATAAGAATACCAAAGCCATTAACTCTTCGTCAACCCTGACGGTGACAAGCCGCAATGACAAGCGATGACCTGATCAATTTAGTGTTGAAGGTAAATAATGTTCCTATTTTCTCCTGTCCACATAATTACTTCCGCTTTGTGACGAGTGCAGCGGTGGCGGCAGCAGCCCGCCTGACCTTCCGTGGTCAGGCACGTACGACGATTTTTTTCGTTATTTTACAAATAAATCACCGTGTTCCGTAAACCACAAGAAATCAATATTTTGCGGATACAAACATCGAACATAAAACCAACTTAAATATAGTTTTATTCTAAATTAATGGAATCGTTAAACAATGATACAAACGTCGACGTAAATAGAGACGTACATTGGTATTTACGGAATGCTAACGTACGTAAAGCACATTAATTAATTTAATTTATTTCAACAAATTATTTCAATCTAAGTAATTGATAACCTTTGCCCGTAATTCAATCTAAATATTTGATCAGTTTTACTTCTCGAAATCAATTAATTTCCATTATGTATCCACTTAATTATTAAGAAGTACGGACCACTGATCACGTAATTCTCACATCAGCAAAAAAAATTTTCCTCGTGGTTAGCAGAGTTCACAGTCGTCATAGAAGAAAGAATTTATAGAGTTCACATTCGCCAAGAAAATCCATACAAAATTCCTTCCTGCAATCACGCGTTGTTGGTCTTTTTACGAGAGCACTTTGGTTTGGATACGCGGCACATGAATTATTATAGCTACTGAAATGTTTCACACTCGTTATCTCCGACTATTCCATTAATCCTGTCACAGTCTTTAGAGAAGGCTAACCAATATTCATAAAATAATTATATGACTAAAATGCAGCGGTAGGTGATGAGTCACAAGCCAAGCCAACATGTCAGCCACTCACCGTTTGGGCTGAACGTAGACGTCGGCGCTGCAGAACAGCAGCTGACGACCAGCAGCAGCAGCAGCGCTGCAGGACTGGCACGAACTTTGGTCATGTGGACGACGCTGAGTGAAGGCTTCTCGTACGTTCTGCAGGGAGACATTGGCATATGTTCATAAACGTGAGAAATAGACAGTTGACATGCATTCTTAACGGTATCGAAGGAAGCAGTGGGTATTGTGTATGATACGTAATATCAACGCACACGAAATGAATTGTTCGAATTGATGATGGTCTTTCTGAAATCTTTTGTTGCTGTGCCACTTATAGAAAGAGTAGAAAAGAACAAGAGGTGGCGCTGAGAGGCCAATGGCCATGAAAGAGGAAGGAGAAATGGAAAGAACAGCATTAAACTTCGCATGCTGTTACATAAGCACAAAAATATATTGACGAATATGATCGCATTTGCTTATTCAATTGAGTATAGACACCATATTGTATTCGTGAGTCAAACGCTTGATTGCAAAGATTGCACCATATTATTGATTCACAATTAGTGGATGCATGTGTACAGGCAAGTCACGGTAAAGCATTACTTACGGGTACTGCCATTTTATCACAATATGGCCTACATCTGCAACGTGCATCACTGTATCATGGTAAATAGTTGAAAGTTAATACGCAGTCGTGCAGAAAATGTCTGTATTAAATGCAATAAGTAAAGCAATTGGTGCAATATGTGTAACATGAAATTTGAAAACAATAATTACAGGGACTTGCATGCCATTGAATGTTGTAACAAACAAAGCTTCGTTAATATTCCTTACGGTGCTTAACTTTGTTTAATTATTCTGGTGGCGAGTGGCCTGAAAGGCAAGTACTCCTACAAAATAACAAGTGCCCACAGCAACAAGTGTCTGGCTGGTCACACGCCCTAATAGCAACATTAACCTTGAGTAAATTGTTCTCCGCCGCTGGCGGTCGAATCTTCCAGAGGTTTTAAGATTCATGTAGAGGGACAAGAATTATTTACGCAATATTTTCTCCACTCAAAAACGAGATTTCAATCGATGCGATTAGAATTTTTGTTGGCAAATAAAGGTATATTAAAACCTTAAGCACAATATTGTCACGGGCCTGCGATAATTACTGCAAACTTAGTGAATGCAGTAAATGATGCGTAAAAATTTATGCATGAAATGCAGAAATTAATGCACAAAGAAGATACATGAATTCCAGCTAGAAAGGCAGAGTTCATGTCGGCAACTCCGACGCACGCCACGTTTGGGATAAGTTCGTCTCAGATTTGCGCACCTGGGTCCTGGAGATATAGAATCTAATATAGCCTAACGCATAATCTTTCAGAAGCATTCTTCTTCATCATTCAATATCTAGATTTATTTTAGGCATCTGATAATGATGCAACATATTTCTTACTACTTAACAAAAAATTCAAACGTATACGTTTTATTTATTTGTATTCATTGTTATTGGGAGCTAATTCAATGAAAATTAATTGCTATGAATCCTAGAACCTGTACCGTATATATTATTCAAATTATAATAATAATAACGTTCCACGAATTAAATATAGAATTATCTTCCCCTTAAAACAAATGCGTTGAGAACGAATCGGTGTTTATTAAAAAAATAATATACTAAATGACTGAGTAACGTCGCTTACGGAGAGAGTGTATTCTAAAAAGATTATTTTCTTATATAGGTCGACGAGTCCATGAACAGGACGTCTAGTATGATTAGAGACAGCCACTCTAGCTCACTTATTACTTATTTAATATTCTTAGCACGTAGACACCAGAACCTACAGCTGCCGAGCTGCATTCTGATGTTCTAGAGAGAACGCCAGCGGTGCAAACAACTGCAACTAGAAGCATTACTTTCGGGGAACTTACAGCCCGACAGTCCACAAGTAAATTCATAGTGAAAATGAGAAACTTTTTATAACACGTTCCTTTTTGGAGTCCTCTGAGACCATAAAAATATCGTATATAAAGCATTACCATACATAAGATATAGATTAAAATGTTGCAGTTCATAATGAAATTGGAAAATAAGTGGAAGCTATCAAGTCTCTCGTTTGCCAAACGCCCGTATAATTCGCACGGCAATCGGTTCCAATTTAGAGTTCAAGTCAGTTTTGCATGGAGAAAATGATGGAGAACTTAACAAATGAAAATGAGGTTTATAAATCGTTTAGTGTCTCCTTGATTAACTTATAAATTGAGACGCAAAATATTTATAATACATTGATAAGATTGATAGAGGTATCAAGTAAAATGACTCAAACACTGTAAACCCGGCGACGACAGCTGGCCTGAAAACGAAGAGCAATTTTCATATTTATAGGTCCGATTTCGAATGATGCGTAAATTACAACAAGACAATAATTTCAAAATCCCTATGGCATTTGTATAATATATAGAGCAACTAAATGTAACCGCATAACAAATTATAGTTTGTGCAAAGCAAGAAATGGGATTTAGCAAAAAACTAAACTGTCCGTTAAAGTAATGACAATGTTACCAACATTTATTATCGCTTAGGATAAACCTGGGCAATCTTATCAGTACAAGTTAGGATTTCCTTCGCAAACAGGAGACCAACTCACATTATCTTGCACAGAGCGAAGGTTGTCTCTCGACTGGTTGCCGAGTGTCCAGCTTCAGCTTTTATATATACATGGCGCTGCATCCTTGCAACGCCCGCGGCATCAATGCAAGTCTCCTATTGGTCCGCGCTCAGGGACGCTTGGCGGGTAACATTTTGCGCAAATGTATAAGATTATAAACACCGCCAACTAATTATATTACTTATAATCAGGTGGCGTTATTATTTTACTTTGACTAAGCTGTTTAGAAAATAACTAATCAAAAGCGTGCAATGAGTTTAAAAGAGCGAAAAATAAGAGGCAGCAAGTAGAAGTAAAAAATATGTGAAGACATCTGCAGGATGAAAATTTATTTTAAAATATTGATTTATCTTTAGTTCTTCCAATTTATAGGACAACAAAATTATTTTAAAATTTGGCGTTAGGTCGAGAAGACGCAATATCATTATCACCTAAAATCGATTTGTTTTCCTCCAACGAAATTAGTTGATTGAACGAAAAAATTCTACCTGGCGAAAACCGATCGAGCTAATTAATATAGGATTTAGCTAATTAAGAATCGTTAAGGAAAAGCTAATTTGATTAATAAGCGACGTGCGTGAGATAAATCTTGATATCAGTCACAGCCTTTAGTGGTAACACTTATAGCTGCAAATTGCGCCACGAAATTGCCAATATACGGGTTCTCAATTTTTAAATGAAAGTAGTAATCGGTAACGAGGCGTAGGAGTATTATACGTACTCACCAGGAATTTGCAGTAACTAGGAGAATTTGTTATGTATACTCAGTTTGTGTGTGACGTCATAACGAGACTTCTCAGTACCGCCAGCTCGTCATCAAGAGAAGTTGCTAGAAGCTTCTCAAGACGATTAAAGGCATTCTACGTTTTTTTTTTTTTTTGTTTGGTGGAAATTAAGAATAATCCATCGAAAGCGCTTACATTCCATCATTCCGAGTATAACATCAAATTCTGATGCCCTACTCATCTTCCATACAATGGAGAAACTAGTCAATTAAAGTAAATTGACTCAAAATAATCACTTGCATGCTGAAACTAATGACGGTGAGCACGAGGGGATGCCTAGCTAACCGGATATTTCTGCAACCAGCTGGACTGCGCGACCTGCAGTTGGTGCTACCACCATCTTTGTTGCTGAAAACAGCCAAGACGACCACGTACACTGTGTGATTGACTACTACTGTAGATTGACTGGCATGTATATTCTATATTGTGCAGTATATTATATAGGTCCGCTTGATCGGGGTTACTACACCGGGGGTGCATCAGCACATTCAGAATCCCAACACAGTGGAAATAATGCATATTCTCAACAGAATTAAATCAAAATTTCAAAAGCAAAATTAACGCTCTTGAGTCGTGCATCCACTATCTAAAGAGGATGCGCCCACAATCTCACGGGGAAAATTTAGAATCTATGGACCTACGGAGGTACACTCACACGCTCGACAGGAACTTATCTCGTGAGCTACGTTTACACTGTACGGCGATGACGATAAATCGCGAACGTGCCAAATCTCAAATTTATGTTCGAGCATGTGAGATCTCGTGTGGGCATGTGAGATCTCGTGTGGGGCATGTGAGATCTTGTGTTGGGCATGTGAGATCTCGTGGGGGCATGTGAGATCTCGTGTGGGGCATGTGAGATCTCGTGTGGGGCATGTGAGATCTCGTGTGGGGCATGTGAGATCTCGTGTGAAAAGAACGAAAAATAAGAGGATGTCAGGATGTGGATCATGTCAGGAAAGGAGAGATCTCGGTTCACCGTAGATTCAACATGGCTCACATAATTTATTTAGGCAGGCGTCGCATATATTGGAGCGCCGCAACTTATTTAAGTGTCGTGCAGTTCTTCATGCAAATGTGTTGCTAGGTGAAGACCGCCTCTGGATAAGCCGTCTAAACTGCAGTCGGCGTCACCTAAATTATTCCCGCGTGCAGTTAATTGAAGTTAATCTAAGTTACAGTCTTGGTCTGTGTATGTTTCTGTTCAGATCAAATCGTGCGCTAGGCTGCAGTGTACATGAGATGTCATGCGTACGTGTTTGCAGTAGCTGTTACAAACTGTGTACGCGTTTGCAGTAACTGCTTCGTACTGTGTACGTATTTAGAGTATCTATTACGTAATTTGCGTGTTTTGATCAACGGTCACGTACAGTGGATGAGCAAATTCCTTGCTGTGATTAGGCTTAAAAGCTTTCGCAGTTTGTTTTGTTTCAATATCTAGGAGATAGAATACAAACCTGCGGGGGCGGGTTTGATCAAACATACCAATGTAATATAGGTTCAAATATTTGAAAACAACAATAATAGATAATGAGACCCGACTTCAATGCAAAGTAGACCACGTACCCAAATGGCGATCCGGTTGTGGCGAGTCTAACTCGAATTTGTTCTGGTAGTTACTAGAAGACTCGGCAGCCACGCCCACGTGACGCATAAGACAAAAATACAGAATATGAGATACGGGGAGGCGATGATATGGTGAGGGCGGCGCGAGTGAAGTGAGGGATTAGCACATATGAGGGCATGACGGGCTTGGCATAAGAGGGGTACGGCACATGATGGGGTAAGGCACAAGAGGGGTACGGCACAAGGGGTACGGCACATGATGGGGTAAGGCACAAGAGGGGTACGGCACAAGGGGTAAGGCACATGATGAGTGTGGAACAAGTGAACTTGGTATAAGATAAAATGCTCCTAAAACTACTTATTATAGCACAATTTGTACATTAGTGGATGATACGCGACAGCTAAAAAGTTATGAATACTAATTTTATTTTCCAAAGGGCTGAACTGATACTCGTGAAATTATAAGAGAATTTTTGCCGCTCTGAAGTGAATAAATTTAAACGCAGCCATTGTACCTGACCTACAAGTAATACTCGACAACTCGAGTACAAAAAAAATATAACTCAGTACCCACTGCAGTGAGTGACAGAGAGCGCATTTTCTCAAAATCGACAAAAACGTGAAATTACAGACAGACGGAAGGACGGACGGACATGACGAGCACGATAGCGCCATTTTCCATCAATGAGAAAATGCGCTAAAAACACCAGGCTGAATTAAGAGAATCTAGGAAGCTGAAAATGTGGGGAAGGGTGAGGCGAGGAAGGATCTCAGCAAATATTTCTGGATGTTCAGAACATCGGATAGAAATGAGTTTTATGCACAATAGATATAATAATTCAAATAATACATATAATAATAAATAATCATGATGCTGGAGTCAAACTGTAACATTGGGTACAAAACCATCGCGTGAAATTCTGCATAAAATTTTTTAAATATTTAAATGGCGTCCTAAGATTAATGTTACAAGGAGCTCTTGTACGCACACGCTCTGCATATGCAGCTCCCGCACAAGACGAGAGCCTCTGCGTTCTATGGCACATGTGGGAAGACTTAGTAAAATGTTGTCCACTGATTCGTCAAGTTTTCATGTTAATAACTACGCAAAATATTCGACGTAGGATGTCTTCAGTGCTTGCCTTCTCTGTTATACAAGAGGCTAGCTGTCTTCACTTGGCAGTTTAATTAGACACCGCACGCACTTAGGTAATTAAGATATCCCAGATGGTTCAGTCGACTATATGAAAGCATAACAACATGACTAAGGAAATTTTATAGCTAAACTGAGTTAACAATTCATACACCATCCAATTTAAATTTAATCTAATGCAGATCTTTCAACGCACCTACCTAACACCGATATCATTGCATCAGGCTCTCATGCCTCAAGGCGACTTCGCAAGTAAATCACTAACAGATGCATTCCACCAAACTCTGACAGCGGTTGCGGTAACACGTTACAATCCACTTTCATTGTACCAAACTCAATAGACTCTCGCGTCAGCACTTCGTGTTCATGCCTATGTCACCGTACAGGTCCCGAGGTCCGTAGTGACACGTACATAACCCAGATATTCTACTCGCTGAAGTAGATCTAAAAAAATACTGCCCAGGTGCAGAGGCTGCTGTCCGCTGAAGGTCGTAATGGTAAAACCGAGAACCTAACTTTGAATTTTCACTTGAAATCTATATTGAATAGGTAGTATAGCTAACATGATATTCTATGAAAATTCAAATCATAGAGTTCAAGTATTCACGCAAGATGTGCTTTGTCAATTGTCATAAACATAAATGCAGTACACAGGTTGCTGTCGTCACTGAGAGTCGTTTATACGAACAACGCACATGACATGATGACTGGTAAATGTTTTTTTCTCGGTTGTCCTAGATTTAGACGATCATTTGCTCATAACTAACCCCTTGTCCTGTTCAGCATGTAGACTTTAAACCAATGCCATATAACCTGAAATAATTGCTTTAGCATTGATCGCAACAGGCCAAAACAAAGATCAAATAGGAAGTGAAATTGATAGCCTCGTGATGGCACTGGATGTATCCATTGTTCCGGCAGAGCGCGCAACAACAAAATTAAATGGAATTAACGGCCAATCTTAAGCTCAGTTTCCTCGTCTTGACTCTGAGTTTGAGTGGCTATTTAAATAAATAAGAAGAGAAATAAGAAGACTTGACATAAATTCTAATAAACCACAATATAGATCAATCTACTAACCATAGGCACAATGGACGCCTCACAGAAGTAGAATAGAATACACCATGCAAAGTGATTACTTCCACAGCTGAAACAAAAACAAAAATACTGAATAACATGGTTCGTCAGGTTCGAAAACATCAAATGCTTGAGGCGCATTTAAATGAAGGCGAATTTAAATAAAGGCGACTAATAACGAGCTAAACTTTGTGCTAGTGTGGCAAAATATGCCGTGGATGGCAGCCATTAACGTTGTGGTCACTGGCTCACTGCTCACTGGTGGACGCAGGGGCATGCCATATGCCGTACCAAGTAAAGATAGTCGAATTCAAGAAGTGCGCTCGAATGAATATTCCACCGCGTATACGGCCCCGCGGCGGGAAGAAAACATGGCGGCCGAGTTATTGGCTACGAGTTCAGCTCAACAGTTGTGAAAATATATTTTTTAAATCGTACCATATTATTCAAATTACTTAATGCTCCATCAATTAAATAAAAAATGTGTGAAATGCAC